CCCCGCCGCAGGTCATCGAGCACGCCAAGGAGACGGAGCGGATGATCGAGGGCTACGGGGGGCTGGCCTCCGACCTGCTCACCTGGATTGAGCAGACCATCGCCTCCCTCAACAGCCGCAGCTTCGCCAACTCACTGGCCGGGGTGCAGCACCAGCTGCAAGCCTTCAGCACCTACCGCACCGTGGAGAAGCCCCCCAAGTAAGTGCCCCTGAGCCCTCCCGGTGCCCACACGGTGGTGGTGAGCACCCATGGGTGCCCCGGGCTGAGCTCTCTCCGGGGCAGGTTTCAGGAGAAGGGGAACCTGGAGGTGCTGCTCTTCACCATCCAGTCGCGGATGCGAGCCAACAACCAGCGTGTCTACACCCCGCACGAGGGCCGCCTGGTCTCCGACATCAACCGGGTATGGGGCCTGTCACGGCAGCCCGGCCGTGTGCTGTGCCGCGGGGACACCAGGCTGCTCCCACGTCACCCTGTGACATGGGGCGGCTCTTCTCCCCGGTATCCCCGAGGGCTTTGCTCCCCAGGCTGTCCTGGGGCACGTCGGGGACATCCTGGGGCAGCTCAGGTCCAGCTCAGGGCAAGTCAAGTCCATCTCCTTGGGGCAGTTCAGGTCCATCCCAGGGCAGATGGGGTCTGCTCTAGAGCAAGACAGGTCCATCTCCTGGGAGCAGGCTGGGTCCATCTCTCAAGGGCAGGTTGGGTACATCTCCTGGGCAAGTTTGGTCCATCCTAGAGCAGGTCAGGTCCTAGGGCAGTTTGGGTTTGTCTCCCAGGGCAGTTCAGGTCCATCCTGGGATGGGCCCTAGGGCAATTTGGGTTCATCTCCTGGGGCAGTTCAAGTCCATCTCCCAAGGCAGTTCAAGTCCATCCCAGGACATGTTGAGTCCATCCTGGGCCAGGTCAGGTCTATCCCAGGGCAGGTTGGGTTTTTCTAGCCATGCTCTCCCACCCACGGGTCACGTTGGGGTTCACCAGCAGAACGAGACGCAGGTAGGTGGGGAGGACACGGGACGTGGGTGCCACTCCGGTCCGGTGCCGCCTTCCCCCAGGCCTGGGAGCAGCTGGAGAAAGCAGAGCACGAGCGGGAGCTGGCGCTGCGCAACGAGCTCATCCGGCAGGAGAAGCTGGAGCAGCTGGCACGGCGCTTCGACCGCAAAGCGGCCATGCGGGAGGCCTGGCTGAGCGAGAACCAGCGCCTGGTGGCCCAGGTGAGACCGGGGACACCCAGCCCAGGGAGCGGGACACCCCACCAGAGCCTCACCGTGGGCTTTGTGCGGGGGCAGGACAACTTTGGCCAGGACCTGCCAGCGGTGGAAGCAGCCAAGAAGAAACATGAGGCCATCGAGACGGACACGGCCGCCTACAAGGAGCGGGTGCAGGCCATCGAGGCGGTGGCAAAGGAGCTGGAGGCGGAGGGCTACCATGACATCCAGCGCATCAATGGGCGCAAGGACAACATCCTGCGGCTCTGGGAGCAGCTCCTGGAGCTGCTGGCCGCCCGGCGCCAGCGCCTGGAGATGAACCTCGCCCTGCAGCACCTCTTCCAGGAGATGCTCCATAGCATCGACTGGATGGATGAGGTCAAGGTGAGCCTTGGGTGCTGGGTGCCAGCATGGGTGGGCTGCCTTGGTCCCACCGGGCAGGGCGTTGGTGGGACCCCCCTGGAGAAGCAGATGAGATGCTGGGGTGCCAGGTGGCGGTGGGTGCCATCTTCTGGCGCTGATGGCCGGGGCGCTCTCTCCCGCAGGTTCAGTTGGCATCGCCCGAATCTGGGAAGCACCTTCTGGAAGCGGAAGAGCTGCTGCAGACCCACCAGCTGCTGGAGCGTGACA